AGGCCGAGGATCACTTGAGTCAGGAGTTTGAGACCAAGCCGGCCAACACGGTGAAACCCCATCTCACGAAAATACAAAATATTGCGCGTTGATGGCCAGTTATAACTCAGCTCGCTCAGGAGACTGAGGCAGGGAGAATCGCTTGAACTCCGAGAAGGTGGAGGCTGCAGTGAGCCGAGATCATGCCACTGCACTCCAATCTGGGCAACGAGCAAGACTCCAATCTCCAAGAATAAATAAATAAGATGGAGAAAGAGAACTTTGCCTGTGTGCCTCTCATTGTCCTGTCCATCCATGCGCCCCACAAGAAACTTACCATCCTGACCTTTTAAGGAATCACTCTTGTGTCTTTTAAATTTTTTTTTTTTTTTGAGATGGGAGTCATCACCTTGTTGTCACAGGTTGGAGTGCAGTAGCACGATCTCAGCTCACTGCAACCTCTGCCTCCTGGGTTCAAGCTTTTCCCCGCCTCAGGCTCCCTGAGCGTAGTGGGACATACAGGGCACCCTGCCACCACACTGGCTACATATTTTTTGTGCTATTTTTAGCAGAGACGAGGTTTCACCATTGGCCAGGCTGGTCTCAAACTCGCTGACCTTGTTGATCCACCCACCTCGGCCTCCCAAAGTGTGGGGATTACAGGCATGAGCCACTGCGCGGCTTAACTATTGTTTTTTTCCTCAAATGGTAACACACCTGAGGACTACTCACACCTGGCTAATTATTTTTTGTATTTTTAGCAGAGACGAGGTTTCACCATATTGGCCAGGCTGGTCTCAAACTCCTGACCTTGTGATCCACCCACCTCGGCCTCCCAAAGTGCTGGGATTACAGGCATGAGCCACTGCGCCCGGCTTAAAATTGTTTTTTTCCTCAAATGTACATACCTAGATACTACATTTTTGACCATTTGAAAAATTTGCTGCCTTTTAATTCTTTTTAAATGTGTGGGTTCCTCATTCATCCTTTTACTTCCTTATACTTTTTCCTTGAAAGAATCTGGAAGTTCGACTGTTGCATCTCCCTTGGGCTGATGTTGCTGACTGCACACTTGAAGTTCTGTTCAACACACTACTCTGTCCTGTGGTCGTCCTGAGAATTGCCAGCTGAATCCAGAGACTGGCTCAGGCTCAGGATTGATCCCTTTGGTCAGACTGCAGGTAGGGCTTGGTTTCTCCATGTGGTATGTAATGTCTGGTTGTCTCATTTTCTAATAATCTTAGCAGCTGTTATACTTAACACCTATATCTATTCCTCTGTTCCCTTAAAAATTAAAAAATGTTTTCTAATTGTGTAAAATATATATAATACGGAATTTACCATCTTAACCATTTTAAAGTGTACAGATTAGCAATGTTAAGTACATTCATATTGTTGTGCAAACAATCTCCAGAACTCTCTTTATCTTGTAAAACTGAAACTCTATATTTACTGAACAACTCACCATTTCCCCCTCCCCCAACCCCTGGCACCCACCATTCCACTTCCTTTTTCTTTTTTTTTGAGACTGAGTCTCGCTCTGTCACCCAAGCTGGAGTGCAGTGGCATGATCTCGGCTCACTGCAACCTCTGCCTCCCAGGTTCAAGTGATTCTCCTGCCTCAGCCGCCTGAGTAGCTGAGATTACAGGCACCTGCCATCATGCCTGGCTAATTTTTGTATTTTTGTAGAGACAGGGTTTCACTATGTTGGCCAGGCTGGTCTTGAATTCCTGACCTCAGGTGATATGCCTGCCTTGGCCTCCCAAAGTGCTGGGATTGCAGGTGTGAACCACTGCACCTGGCCCCACTTTGTTTTTCTTTCTGTTTTTTGGGGGGGGTTTGTTTGTTTGTGTGTTTGTTTTTGGAGATGGAGTCTCTCTCTGTTGCCCGGGCTGGCGTGCAGTGGCATGATCTCAGCTCACTGTAACCTCCGCCTCCTGGGTTCAAGCAATTCTGCTGCTTCAGCCTCCTAAGTGGCTAGGACTACAGGCGGACGCCACCACACCTGGCTAATTTTTTTGTATTTTTAGTAGAGATAGGGTTTCACCATGTTGCCCAGGCTGGTTTCGAACTCCTGAGCTCAGGCAATCTGCCCACCTCCGCCTCCCAAAGTGCTAGGATTACAGGTATGAGTCATCACACCTGGCCGTTTTTTTTTTGTTGTTTTTTTGTTTTTTTGGTTTTTTGTTTTTGAGACAGAATCTAGCTCTGTCACCCAGGCTGGTGTGCAGTAGTGGTACAACCTCAGCTCCCTGCAACCTCCGTCTACTGGCTTCAAGCGATTCTCCTGCCTCAGCCTCCAAAGTAGCTGGTATTACAGGCACATGCCAGCATGCCCGGCTAATTTTTTGTATTTTTAGTAGAGACGGGATTTCAGTATGTAACCCAGACTAGTCTTGAACTCTTGACCTCAAGAGATTCGCCTGCCTTGGCCTCTCAAAGTGCTCAGATTACAGGCATGAGCCACCGCGCCTGGTCTCCACTTTCTGTCTCTATGAGTTTGAGTACTCCAGGGACCCCATACGGGCAGATTCATACACTACTTGTCCTTTTGTGACTGGCTGATTTCTCTTAGCATAATGTCCTCAGGTTTCATCCACGCCGTAGCATATCACAGGATTTCCTTTCTTTTCGATGCTGAATAATATTTTATTGTATGAATACGCCACATTTTGTGTACCCATTCATCCACTGAGGGACACTGGCTGCTTCCACTCTTTGGCTGCTGTGAATAATGCTGCTATGAACATGGGTGTATAGACGTCCCTTCAAGACCCTGCTTTCAATTCTTTTGGGTATATACTCAGAAACAGAATTGTTGGGTGGCATGATAATCCTATGTTTAATTTTTTGAGAAGCTGCCATACTGTTTCCCACAGTGGCTGCATTTTAGATTCTCATCCTGTATTCTCTTTTAATGTTCATTTCCACCGCTCACCACTCAGGGAGTGTTCAGTGTCCTCAGCTACCCATATTGGGATCCCAAAGGTAATGTTTCCTCTAATAGTTCCAAACTGGGAACTACATGCAAGTCCAGTAACAGGGGATCCATTAAGTGGTAGATCCCTAACATGGAATCCCAGGTAACCATTTAAAATATTGTTGTGGAAGAGTATTTATGACATGAAAAGATGTCTCTAATACTTGTTTAAGTTAAAAAAAAAAGGAGGCTACAAAACAGAATGTGTATGTGTAGATAAATCCATAGTTTTGGTAAAAAGACAACTGTCTATTAGGAAGAGCTGTCTTAACTAACCTTCACTTAACTGACTCACTGAATTAGCCAAAGTCCCTCACCCCTGTCACTTGTAAAACACAGCGACCCAACAGCTTTTGTTTTCACACCTTCTGCTCCCATTCAGCTGTACAATGAGTAAGAGTCACCTTAGTCCCAAGTTAGTTGTTTCCAAACTTGTTTATTCCAGTTGTATTATATATGGTATGAATGAATTATACATGACACAAGAAGGTGAAATACGAGCGCAAAAAGGTCTCCATGGGAACAAAGTCAAATATTTGGAGAAGATGCCTTAAACAAGTGTTAAATTAGGGGTGGATAAGACAAGGGTAAAAGCCTGGGACACCACCTCTCGGAGAGGAACTATCTTTCTGAGTTATCACCCTGGAGCGTCAATTCTTGTCCCCTTTATTGTCCTGAATTTTCACAGCTCTCCATGGTAAGTGATCAGCCACCTTACACTCACCAAGTATGCAGAGTCAAGAGACTATTTTCATTCTGTTGCAAACCTTCAGGTCAGCATATTATAGGTATCTATGGAATTCATTCCTGCAGGGGCAAACATGTGGCATTTGTCCTACCATTCTCCCATCCTAAACCCATGGCTGATATCACAAACCCATCACCAGATTCTATCCTGGTAAATCCACACTGTAGTATCAGAACTCTGGTTAGCCCCAACAAATCAACTGGAGCTGACATGTCATGTGACATGAAACCTATGCTGCCTCCCCAGCCTCCTCAGGTTACAGAAGGCTTTTAAAAAATCAGGTAGAAAATTAAACATATGCAAAGTGTCTAAAGTCCTGGCCTCTGGGCCCCTGGCCTGAATATACTGTTTTGTATGTGGTAAGTATTCAGTGTTCATTGAATGAATGAATGAGTGAATGAATGAATGAATGAATGAATACTTGGGGAATGCATGGTCTCCTGCTTTCCAAAGCTCACCATTCAGTCTTTCTCCCTCACATCATCCATCTTAGTTTCCCCTGACAGCTGTGCTCTGAATTTCCTCCCAGTCTACAGGACAGCAGAAGGCCATAGTGCCCAGAAATCCCACCATTACCGACTGGTTTCTTTTGGATGTAATATCCCATTCAGGGTTATTTGCAGGTAACCTCAATACTAGAATCACAAACACCTAATAACTTCTATCTATCTTCAGGAAGGTTGTGACACACCAACAAAATGATTCTCAGAAGACTGCATTACTAACTGCGAAGCACTCTGCCCCAAGAAGTGGGCTGTAAATCAGACTTCTTATTTTGTTTCACTGCTGTACAGCTTTTGGAAAGCACCAGCCAGCCTCTCTTCTTCCAGAAAGGAAAAAAATGCTTCCATCTCCTTATTCTGCTTTCCCCTCCCCCTCCTGTTTTGCAGCCTCTGGAGTTCGGCGAACATATCTGACCTGTCCCTGAACATTCTCCCTTCTGCCTCTTTGCGCTGTTCTGTCTTCCCACACCACGCTTCCACACACCCCACGCTGACACACTGAGACCCTGCCCGGCCCCAGGCCCAACTCAGAGGCCACCCAGCAAGGAACCACTTTGGCAGAAAGCCTACCATCTCTCCACGTGACAGTCCTTTGTAAGCACCTTCGATTTTCTTTAGCACATTCTACCTTATTTTGCTGGTCTAAAGTAGTAACAGTCCAGGGCGGCCAATGTTTATTGAAAGCTTTGAGTGTGCCAGTCACCATGTAACGGGCTTACATGCCGTTGTGGTTTGAATGTTTGTGTCTCTCCAAAATTCATGTTGGAGCTTTGGGAGGTGATTAGGCTATGAGGGCTCCACCCTCGTGAATGGGATTAATGCCCTTATAAGGGAGGCTCCAGAAAGCTGTTTGGCTTTTCTGTCTTTTCTGTCACATGAGAACACATTGTCCCTTCCGTGTCTTCCATCACAGGAGGACACCCTAGATGGCACCACCTATGAGGAGGGAACCCTCCCCACACACTTAACCTGCTGGCACCTTGATCTCGGACTTTCTAGGCTTCAAAGGATATAAATTTCTGTACTTTATAAATTGTCCAGTCTCGGGTATTTTATTAAAGCATACAAACAGACTTGTATTCTCTCCTTTATCTTGCAAACCTCTATAGCCATGTCCATTTTATTGAGGCTCAGAGATGCTAAGGAGCCCAAGGTCACACAGCTAGTAAGGAACAGGGCCAGGCATTCATTCATTCATGAATTCATTAATTCATTCAATCAATATTTACTTATTTATTAAAGGCCTATAATGTGCTAATCATAGTCTAGATGTTGGGAAAATAACAGTAATCAAGTCAAAGTGCTCGTACACAAGGAGCTACCATTCTAGCGGGAAGAAACATATCCTAAAGAAAAATACAAGTCAATAAATACTGTGTCAGGTGGTGATAAATGCTATGGGGAAGAAAGAGGGTAAGTGATAGCTTAAGTGGGTCTGCTGTTTATATAGGGTGGTCAAGGTGATCTGGCAACATTTGAGCAGAGATCCAAAGGAAGTGAGTCATGCAGAGATCTGCAGGAAAAAAACATCAAAGAGGTGGGAACAGCCTATGCAAAGGCCCTGGGGTGGGCACATCTTTGACATGTTAGAGAAGCAGCAAGGAGTTTAGTGTGGCTGGAGCTGAGTGAGGGGAGAGAAACTGAGGTGACAGGGGTTAGATCATGGAGGGCCTTGCGGTTATGGCAGAAACTTCGGTTTTGACTTTTACGAAACAGGGAGCCACTAAAGGACAGCTCCCGGAACCCATGTCCTTAATTGCTATGCTATACTACTGATGGACCACATGAATGAATGGCAAAAGGTACTTGGGGACTTTTTCTCATTAAAACCAGCAGAATGGTGGCCAGAGAGTCTAGAAACAACCCATGGAAGGGCAAGATGTGAGTTAACAAGGAGGGCTAATTGGGGAGGGGGGAAGTGCCCATCGCCTTGGTTGCCGGGAGTCTCTGTGGTTCCCACAGCACAGGACTGTGTGGGGCCCTGTGATGTGTGGGGCCCCAGTGGGTCCTCTACCTGGATTTGCAGAGCAGATTTTCCAGGCCTGCCCCAGATGGGCCTCAGCCCTTCCATGAAAGGTGTCCTTTGCTAACAAGAGGCAGAGAGAAAAAGCCAATGTTTGCAATAACTCACCAGAGAGAAATGAAAATTGTGCCCAGACTGGAAAATAACTCATCTGAAAGTGACACATTCGCCTCCTATATATATATATATATACACATATATAAAACTTTTTCTTTTCTTTTTCCTTCTCATTTGAAGGAAGGCAGAGCCTTCTCACATACACTGCTTTACAGCAGGAAAATCTACTCCGCAAACTTCTGAAATTCCTGTCCTTATTCCTGTCACAATTCTCTCAGAGGCAAAAGGACATCATATCTGGGGAGGTGGCCATCTGATGGCAGGACAGCAAGCGTGGGCCCTGGCATTCCCAGGACAATCCCAATAGCAAGTATTCTTCTGATTGGCTGCCCCCCCTACCCCGCCCCACTGCCAACTAACCAGCTATTCTCAAACTTGGGAGTGCATACGTTAAAATGCAGATTCCGGGAACTCTGATTCGGGAAGTCTGGGAGGAGGCTCGGACACTGCATTTTAAATAGAGAATCTCCAATGATTCTGATGCAGGCTGTGTAAGAAGTACTTCCCCAAACCACAGGAATAGTCCCAGTAGCCCCAGCCTTCTGCATCTACGCTTAAAGGATGAAGTGATCCCAATCCTTTCTCGGACCACAGAGAGGCACGTTTTAGCTCCTGGCAGAGGTCAGAATGCTCCTGGCCAAATCGGAGTCGTGGAGAATCTTGAAATCCCAGTCCTTGCCCCTGGCCATCCCAACTCTCTTCATTTATCTTCCTGACTTGAGCTTCTGGACTCTGCCCAGCATTTGCTGTCTGGGTCATAGCCAGGAAGGCCCTGGTGCTGGGGCATGGAGCTACCCTGGGCCTTCGATACAAGCCATAGCTGGAGAGGGAGCCAGAACTTGCCTAAGCCTCTGATCATGAAGTATAACAGAAATGTCTAATTGTGATTATGAAACACTGTTTCACATCTTAATTTGTTGAAGCTACATGTTGACAGTAGGTACTCCCTTAGCAGGGGGAAACAAAAGGACCCCGCTCTATTATTACTGTAATTTACTGGAATAAGGAGCCACCAGATGCAGCCCTGGCTCACACCCCTCCCTCATGAATTACAAAGCTGGTCTGAGGGCCCTGTCAGTTGCTGGCTTTGGGAACCAACATTGCTATTTAAAATCCTCCTGTGGTGCATTCCACTTCGTTGAGATCTCTCCTCAGACGCCATCTTCCTTACCCACTGGTCTAAATGACTCTCTTCCCCAGTGCCCCTCTCTTGTTATTTCTAACCTCTTAGCCTACTTTATTTCCTTCAGAGCATCCACCACTATTTGAATTACAAATTGATTTGTTTGCTTGCTACTTTATCGTCTGCCTTAATCCATCTAGAAGGTAAGTTCTTCAAGAGCTATGATCTTGTCATGTTCAACACCGTATTTTGATGCCTTGCACATAACAGGCACTCAACTGATAGTTTCTGAATGAATCAATCAATGATAAATGAATGAATGTTACAACGCTCTGAGGGCCCTGGAGTCATCTCTAACTGCATGATGCTCTACTTATTGGATCCAGCGGTCTTTGGGGACTAAGCAGATACACAAAAAATAACAACAGCTGCTTTTTTTTTTTCTTTTGAGACAAGCTCTTGCTCTGTTGCATAGGCTGGATGGAGTGCAGTGGGGCAATCTTGGTTCACTGCAACCTCTGCGTCCCGGGCTCAAGCAATCCTCCCACCTTGGCCTCCCCAGTAGCTGGGACTGTGAATGCGCACCACCACACCTAATTTATGTAGTTTTTCGTAGAGATGGAGTTTCACCACGTTGCCCAGGATGGCCTCAAACACCTGGGCTCAAATGATCCGCGCGCCTTGGGCTCCCAGAGTTCTGGGATTACAGATGTGAGCCACTGTACCTGGCCAATAGCTGCTTTTATTTAGAGCTTACTGGGTGTACTGGGTGTACACACCATCTCATTTTATCCTCAGAGTAGTTTTGCAAGGTTGGGATTATTAACCTCATTTTTAAATTTTTCATTTTTTTGAGACAGGGTCTCGTTTTGTCACCCAGGCTGGAGTACAGTGGCACATTCAATAATTCACTGCAGCCTTGATCTCCCGGGCTCAAGCAATTCTCCCGTCTCAGCGTCCCAAGTAGCTGGGACCACAGGCACACACCACCAAGCCCAACTAATTTTTGTATCTTTTTTGGTAGAGACAGAGTTTCACCATGTTGCCCAGGCTGCTCTGAACTCCTGGGCTCAAGTGATCTGCCTGCCTCAGTCTGCCAAAGTGCCGGGATTACAGGCATGAGCCACTGCACGTGGCCCTATTAACTCCACATAAGAGGTGTAAAAACCAATGACAAAGTCACCCAGCCAGTAAGGGAAGAGGTGGAATTCAAACTTAAGTCATCTAATGCCAAAGTCTTCACTGTGTCTCATGACAACTGCATTTGATGTGATCTACCATATGTTGACACTGGGATAGGATCCAGAGACAAGTAAGACAAGGCCCTTAACCCCAGAAGTTCAGGGTCTATCTGGGCAGTGCAGCAGAATAAGGATGAGCAAGCAATTAGAATTCACCTCTACATCTGAGCCTCATCCTTTACTAGCTGAGCCTCAGCTCCCTCCTCTGTAAAATGGAGTACTAATTCACCAAAATAATGGAGTAATAAGTCACCAGTCCTCTGCTATGTGAGGACACAGCAAGAAGGCAGCCACTTGCAAGCCAGAAGAGGCCCCGCACCAGAGCCTGGCCACAGTGGCACCCTGATCTCAGACTCCCAACCACCAGACCTGTGAGAAGTCAATGTTTGCTGTTAAGGCCGCCCAGTCCATGATATTTGGTTATATATAGCAGCCTGGACTAAAACAGTAGTGATTCTGGAAGTTAGGTCTACTAGCCAAACACTGTGAACCACTGCTACATTTAATTCCATCACACACATCAGAAGTAGGTAGTTTTATTATCAAACTAAAGGTACAAAGAAAAGAGTCAAGAATCTCTAGGCAATTAAAAATTAGCATCACAATCTAGGTGCGGTGGCTCATGCCCATAATACCCAGATCCCTAAACAGTAGGATCACTTGAGGCCAGGAGTTCAAGATCAGCCTGGGCAATAGAGCAAGAACCTACCTCTACAAAAAATATAAAAATTAGTCAGGCATAGTGGCATAAGCCTGTAGTGCCTGCTACTTGGGAGGCTAAGGTGGGAGGATTGCTTGAGCCCAGGCATTTGAGACTACAGTAAGCTATGATCACACGACTGTACTCCGGCCTGGGCAGCAGAGCAAGACTCTTAAAAAAATTACCATCACAAGCTAGGCACGGTGGCTCACCCCCGTAATCCCAGCACTTTGGGAGGCTGAGGTGGGTGGATCACGAGGTCAGGAGATCGAGACCATCCTGGCTAACATGGTGAAACCCCGTCTCTACTAAAAATACAAAAAAATTCGCCAGGCGTGGTGGCGGGTGCCTGTAGTCCCAGCTACTCGGGAGGCTGAGGCAGGAGAATGACGTCAACCCATAAGGCGGAGCTTGCAGTGAGCTGAGATCATGCCACTGCACTCCAGCCTGGTGACAGAGCAAGACTCTGTCTCAAAAAAAAAAAAAAAAAAAAAAAAAATTACCATCACAAATCAATTATTTTCAAATCTCTCTGTTAATAAGTATTTCCTGATTGGGCTGTTTAGATTTTAGCATCTACATGGGCAATACAAGGCAGGTGAAGGAAACTGGCATCTCATAGCTGGGGCGATGCAAATTATTGCTCTCTGTGGGCAGTTTTGTAGCTTTTACTCAAAATCTTTAAAATGTACATATTCTTTGGCTCTGCAATTCTACTTCTGAGAATCTTTCATCCCACAGGGTACAAAAAGATGTTCACCATAGTGTTGTTTTTATTACTGGAAAATGGGATGCAATATAAACAGTAGTCATTATGGGACTGGTCCCATGTTGGCACACAAGAACACTGGGATGGTATGCAGCGATTAATAATCATGGGGCTGGGCAGACACAGTGGCTTACGCCTGTAATCCCAGCACTTTGGGAGGCCGAGGCAGGCGGATCACCTGAGGTCAGGAGTTCTTCGAGACCAAGCCTCAAACATGCAGAAAAACCGTCTGACTAAAAAAATACAAAATTCAGCCAGGGCATGGGTGGTGCATGCCTGATAACCCAGTACTCTCGGAAGCCTGAGGCGGAGAATTGTGACCTGGCAGGCCAGAGGTTGCGTGAGCCAAGATCGCGCCACTGCAACGCCAGGCCTGGGCAACAAGAAGCGAAATTTCTCCATCTCAAAATATAATAAAGTAAATACTAATCATCATCATCATCCAATCA